AGAATGAACTTGTGACTTTAAATGAGCATCATTATTCCACAATACAGTGAAATTCCGGGAATTATGTAATCACTTAATCACAATTAAAAAAAAAAGAACCTCGGGGAAGGTAGGGAGGGAGGGGATGGTAGGGGGAAAACAACGGAGGGGGTAACAATGTTCAAGAGGAAGTGTACTCATTACCTCACTCATGTAACTGTAACCCTCTGTATAGTATCTTTACAATAAAAAAAAAATAAAAAAAAAAACTGGAAGAGAATTCTTCCCATATAATACAAGAAAGATAAGCTGAGGCTAGGAATGTGGCTTAGTGGTAGAGTGCTTGCCTAGCATACATGAAGCACTGGGTTGTCAGTACCATACAAACAGAAAAAGCCAGGAGTGGTGCTGTGGCTCAAGTGGTAGAACGTTTGCCTTGAGCTGAAGAGCGCAGGGACAGCGCCTAAAACCAGAGTTCAAGCCCCACAACTGATTAAAAAAAAAAGAACTTGTGAGTAGTTCTTTGATGCAGTATCTGTATTGTAAAGGCATTCACAGAGCAGAGATAAAATATATGCCTTTCAAACAACAAAGGGGTTGAGGATGTAGCTCAGTGGTAGAGTGCTTGCCCAGCTTGCAAAGTCCTGGTTTCAATCCCCAACACTAAAGTTTAAAAAAAAAAAAAGGGACAAGTATTTATCTAGGATATTTCTAGTTCCTATTTCTTTTTGTGTCTTGAACTCTGGCCCTAACTCTCTAGCTTGTCTCTGCTCACAAATGTCGTTCTACCACTTGAACCACAACTCTAGATCTGATTTTTTTTTTTTTTAGAGGGGAGTGGGCAGTGGGGTTGGCTAACTGGAGATGAGTCTCAAGATTTTTTCTGTCTAGGCTGCCTTCAAACTGCAATCCTCAGATCTTAGCCTCCTAAATAGCTAGGATTATAAGCATCAGCTACTGGTTTTCTTTTCTTTTTTTTTTTTTTTGTCGGTCGTGGGGCTTGAACTCTGGGCCTGGGCGCTGTCCGTCAGCTCTTCAGCTCAAGGCGAGCGCTCTACCACTTGAGCTACAGCGCCACTTCTGGTTTTCTGGTGGTTTATTGGAGATAAAGAGTCTCATGGTCCAAGTACACTAGGCACTTGACTGCCAGCACTCAGAAAGGAGGATTAGGGGCAGATGACAAGATGTAATGTGTGACATTATCAGAATTTGACTCACGACAAAAAAAATGTGGCTTGGAGTTCTGTTGACTTTTATTTCAATACTACATATAAACAATATTAAAATAATTTGAATCCCTAAAAAAAAAAAAAAAAAAGAGTCCCATCCCTGTAAGGAACTTGATGTATGACAATATCCCCTTTATCTAACTCTCTCCTGCCCGGGCTGGCTTTGAACCGCGATCCTCAGATCTCAGCCTCCTGAGTAGCTAGGATTACAGGCATGAGCCACCAGCACCCGGCTTTCTTTTCTTTTTGTACCAGTCCTGGGGCTTGAACTTAAGGGTCTGAGCACTGTCCTTCAGCTTATATGCTTAAGGCCTACCACTTGAACTACAGCCCTACCTCTGGTTTTTTTGGTAATTAATTGGAGATAAGAGTCCCATGGACTTTCCTGCCAGGGCTGACATCAAACTGAGATCCTCAGATCTAGCCTGCTGAGTACTAGGATTATAGGTGTGAGCCTCTGGTGCTGGGCTAGTTTCCATTTCTTTTTCTTTTCTTTTTTGGTCGGTTGTGGGACTTGAACTCTGGGCCTGGGTGCTGTCCCTCAGCTATTCAGTTCAAGGCTAGTGCTCTTACCACTTGAGCCACAGCACTACTTCTGGTTTTCTGATTGGTTTATTGGTAATAAGAGTCTCACGGACTTTCCTGCCTGGGCTGGCTTTGAACTGTGATCCTCAGATCTCAGCCTCCTGAGTAGCTAGGAGTATAGGCCTGAGCCACCAGTGCCCTGCCCAGTTTCCATTTCTGATCATGTGCTTCTCTATTGCAAACACATATGTGTTTGAATTTTCCCCCACAGTGAAAGTCAACTGTTTTCAACTTTTAATCTACAAGTTTTTGATATTTCTGATGAAAAAGACAATCCAGCTTTCTTACTATAACTTAATTACTATATACGTTTATACACACACATTTTTATTTTCCCTCAAAAAACTATGTGGAGGAAGTGGCGCTATGGCTCAAGTGGTAGAATGCTAGCTTTGAGCTGAGAGCTGAGGGACAGCGCCCAGGTCCAGAGTTCAGGCCCCATCACTGACCACAAAAAAAAAAGCTGAATCTTAGAGCCCAAGTAACACTCTGCCAATTCCAGTCAGTCTCATGATTTAAGAAAAACAAAAAAACTACGTGGAAGCCAAGTGCCAGTGGCTCATGCCTATAATCTTAGCTATTTAGGAGGCTGAGAACTGAGGATCACTGTTTGAAGGCAGCCCAGATGGAAAAGTCTATATCTAATAAACTATTCAGAAAAGGCCTGAAGGGGTGTTATGGCTCAAGGGAGATATACCCCACAGAGTTTAGGGGAGATATACTTTTCCACATGACATTTGTTTCTACTCATGTCTCAATGTAGTTTTGTGTGGCTTTTTTCTTTTCTTTTTTTTGGTACTGGGGATCAAATACAGGATGTCCACTTGCCAGATAAACACTTTGCCACTGAGCTATACTCCAGCCCTTGAGTAGATTTTTTTAAAGGAGATAAGAATTAAGAAGTAGTCACCAAGATGTTTTACAACTAGGAAATATAACCTGCAATATGAGATTAAAGGAGTGGTACAGATTATAGAACCATAAAGGCAATTTTAACAGGAACAAGAGCAACAACCACCTACTCTGAAAAGGCATTTATTCTTGCTTATTTCTTCTGTACTGGAAAGAACATGTCCTGCAAAAGTGCTCTGAAAATCCATACCTTATCTTTAGATAGGGCTTGAAATGCTTTTCCCTTGAATGTACCTGAGTATACAGGGTAGGTTCTACCAGCTGCAGGTTACACACACACACACACACACACACACACGCACACGCACACACACGTGTGTGTGTGTGTGCATGTGCGTGGATGTGGGTGTGCATGTGCGTGTGTGTATTCATTTCACAAAGATGCTACCCTGGGGAACAGAAGGAAAGAAAGTAGTGAGAACTAGGCTAACCCAAAGGAAGCCTAGTGGGATATGCCATAAAGAAGCTGCAAGTCCAAAGGTAAGAGTTAATACCTTCATCTTCTTCCTTCTACATGTTATTAGCACATTCAATAACATTGTAGGTTCTAATCAGAATTTCTTAGATTTTTTAGGGGTAATCAATACTAACCTAATTTTACAGAGGACAATATCAAAGTTCAGAAATGTTTTTTGGTTAACCAACAGCTGAACAACGTGGAGTTTCTGAGGTTGCATTACAACCCACATTAATTTTTCTTTCAATTCAACTACTTAGCAGTTTCCCATGAGAATTCTGGATAAGGATAAAGCATTTGCTAATTCTTAAAGTCAAGGCTATTTGCTGTACACTACAATCTGCTAACCATCAATTGGTCCTCAACCTCTTCACCACCAAGTACAACTAACAAGAAGAAGGTATAGGAATCTGTGTATTTTTAAAAATCTTCATTTAAGTTAGGCCTTCTTAAACCTTAGCAATTAGTCCTCAGATCAAACATATTCCCTGTAATATAAGTTACCATATTTTTGCAGCTTCTCATATAAATCTGGAGTGCGATACACCAGAGCAGCAAAGGTGGCGTTCACAGCTTGATCAATAGTGGAACCAGCAACTATATCTGTCTTTGGGGCCTGTTTTCTACATGCCTGTATGAATCCTTTGAACAGTTCTGAATTTGGCCCACAGAAGTTCTGAGCAGGCTCTGACTGGGCAAAATCAAGGAGAAAACGCCGGCAGGGATCGTCAGGGATTTTCTTAACCTGGGAACAGGAAAAAAAAAATCACGTTTAACATAGTCATTAAAAAAAAAAATCTGCTGAGTACCTACTAAGTCAAAATGGAAGCATAAAATATAGTGCTTGTTCTATTTTAGAGAGAACAGACAAACATATGGGTTTTTAAAAAGGTATATAAATAAAACAAGAACATTAAAACTAGCAGTACCATAAAACAAAATATTGGCTGGTGCCAAATGCCTAGAGGGGATACCCAGTGCTAAGAATTCAAAGGAGAAAATTCCAGGCAGGTTAAAGTGATCAAGAAAAGCCTCCCGGAGGACAGGGCTAAGGGCTATATCCTGGAGGATGAGCAGTTGTGACCCTAACAGACACAACTACTAGCAGAGTTAAGAGTCAGCAGGGAGACTGACCTGGCCTGATGTCTCAGTTGGGGAGTGATGTGAACTAGAATCAGATAGGTAAGGTGAAAGGAGACTGCAGAGAGCCTTGACTGTCACATTGAGGAGATTAGACTTCACCCTGTGGGCAATGGGGAGCCATTAATTGAGCTTGGCAGTGTAATGACAAGATAATGTAGTGATTAAAAAAACAAAACAAAAACAAAAAAAAAACAAAAAGACTTGGGAGTACCAATGTAATAATGCAAGCACAAGATGGAAGTCTAGATAAAGATAGAGGAAAGCAGAAATGAAGAGTAAAGTTGAGGAGGAAGGGACAAAGAAGGGCTTGCAGTTGACTAGAAAGGAAGGGCACAAGCAGCACAGGGACGAAGGATAGATAGAGAGCAGTGATTGAAGGACAGGTCTGGGCAAACAATGACCAGGACCAAAATGAACTGAGAAGGCATTATGGTTTTACCTTTTGGAATTAATCGGAATCAGAATGATTGAAATGAAAACACTTAATGGGAAGATAGATACCAGGCCCTGGGAGAACCAGAGCTGGTAACTAATATTTTAGAACTATTCCCACAAATGGGACAGAAAAGAGAGAAGAGAGGACAAAGTCTTGGATTGTGAGAAAGGGAAAGATGCCTGAATAAAGCCTACGCTTTAGAGAAGGAGGAATTAGTAAAGAAGGCAGACAGAATAGTGAGATGTAAGAAAAGCATGTGGACTGTCATAGGACCAAAAGAAGAAAGTATGGAGGAATTAGATTCACCACAGAGGTAATAGGGACTAGTAGAGGAAGAATCATTGTATTGATCAATTAACCACAGAATACTTGGGAGGAGAGAAGAAAAAGAAGAGAAAGAAAGATCAAATAGCAGAGTAAGAAAAAAGAAGGATAAGAAGTAGAAACAAAGAGCTACCTTGTTTTGTTTCTAAAATATTACACACCTACTACAGCTAAATGGAGACCAAAAGAGATGACACAAATTATTAAAGTGTGGCTCAGTAGGCATTTGCATACTTGATGACACCATTAAGAGATGTTTACTGCAAGAAAATTATTTTTCATGGAAGAGCCATTCATTACATACTTTCGAGCACCTATGGAACATTAGGCCCTTGAGTTAACACAGTAGCTAGCAGCTTAATGGAGGTGATAACACTAACATTTACAACTTAAAATAATAAGTATTAATGAACAACTTTCACCCAGACAGTTGACAGACAAATAAATACCTCCTTCTCATTCTGATGTAGGTGAGTGGGCCAGCTTGCTTCTAATTCCAACCCTGGACAAATCTGATGCCTGAAGACAGGTTTCCACAATGGGGAGTTCAGTACTGAAGCCATTTTTGCCTGTGGTACTGCCAGGTTACTGCCTAACTCTGAAGAGAAAGTGGCTTATGAGAGTTCTATTTTTAGCTCATTACCGTGAAATTCTTTGAAAGAAACTGATTGCTTAAGACTTGGAGAAAATTTATTCACATTTTTCATAATGGAATTGTGACATATCATAAATATACATTAAAGATTAACCTTAACCTGAAATGCTACTGTCTTGTCCGACTTCAGCTACAATTTCTGGTTTTTTAAACTGAAACTGAAGGTTTCAGTTCTGAGGCCTACCAAAAAGCTATTTAGGAATTATGGAAAAATATCACAATTTTTAAACTTCACTTTATATAAACAAATAATTATTCTGAATATTCTGAAAATAAAGTACAGGTAGAAATCAATAAAATGTCAATAGTTATCTTGGACTATTAAGATTAAAGATGATTTTACTTTTCTTTTGGGTTTTCCCTGCTTTTATCTTAATTAGTTACTATTGTTTATGATATTGGGGCTTGAACTCAGGATCTCTAACTCTTGTTTGGCTTTCTCACTCACAACTGATGCTCTATCTCTTGAGCCATGCTGGTGTGTACTGGGGCCTGCACTTTACCACTTGGGCCACATCCTACTTTTAGCTTTTCATTGGTCAATGGGAGATAAGAGTCTTACAGTCTTTTCTTCCTAAGCTGGCTTCAAACATTGATCCTCAGGTGCCAGCCACTGGTATGGGCCCTGTTTTTTTTTTTTTTTTGGTAGATTGTGGGGCCTGACCTCTGGGCCTGGGCCTGTCCCTCAGCTCTTCAGCTCAAGGCTAGCTCTCTACCACTGAGCCATCTTCATAGCCCCCATTCTTGTTTTTTTGCTGGTTAATTAGAAATAAAGATTCTCTTGGATTGCTCTATTCAAGATGTCTTCAAATCATGACTCTCATATCTCAACCTCCTGAGTAGCTAGGGTTATAGGTATGGGTCACTGGTACCAGCCAATGTCACTTTTTTTTTTTGGTCCAAAATTAGAACTTGAACTTGGTATCTAACACTTTCATCCACTGGCTGGCATCTAACACTTGAGTCATGCATCCAATACTCCAATGTCATGTTTTTGTGTTTTTGCTGGTCCTAAGGCTTAAACTCAGGACTTGGGCATTGTCCCTGGGCTTTTTTGCTCAAGGCTAGTACTCTACCACTTTAACCACAGCTCTACAATTGCCTTTTTTGAGTGCTTCATTAGGGATAAGTCTTATAGACTTTCATGCCCAGGCTAGCTTTGAACCTCAATCCTTAGATCTCAGCCTCTTGAGTAGCTAGGATTAAGGTATGAGCCACCTGTGACCAGCCTAAGTCACTTTTTTTTGTTGTTGTTGTTGGTGGCCATGGGGCTTGAACTCTGGGCCTGAGCACTGTCCCTCGGCTCTTCAGCTCAAGGTTAGTGCTATATCACTTGAGCCACAGTGCCACTTTGGTTTTCTGGTGGTTTACTGGAGATAAGAGTTCCATGGCTTTTCTTGCTTTGAACTGTGATCCTCAGATCTCAGCCTCCTGAGTAGCTAGGATTACAGGCATGAGCCACCAGCACCCGCCAAAGTCACTTTTTAATAGAGATGTTTTTAGTTACCAAGAGCATGATTACTACTGAGATGCTTCATAACCTTCCTCATAACCCTTTAACCACATAACTTTTGTTTGTATCTAGAAAGTGACCATTTAGGATGAATGATATTTGTTTTTACAATCAGAAAAATGTTAAAAAAATTATATAGATATAAAATACTCCAAAAAGATTTATTTTACGAATATATCCCTTGGAACAAATGATAAGAAGTTGATTAATGTATTTTAGGATAATATATATATTCACATACTTATTTATGTTCACATAAATTTCACTTAAACAACAATTAAATGACTATATTTCTACCTTCTAGTTGGAGTATACTTAAATCTCTAAAAATGACTATGCTGCTGCTAAAAAACAGCAATTTCTCAATTGTCTTCCATAGATAGAGGGCATCCACAACATACTTTGTGATAGGGCCAAAGTCTGAGTCAAGAAACTTCCCAATGGTGCCCAGTGGGTAAACCGTTTTGATTTGGTTTAAAGAAAACTAAAAAGAAACATATATTAAATATACCTTGCTCTATCGTGATGTGGAGACAACCTATGAGAGAGAGTTCCTACGTTGCTCTTCAACACAGTTGTAATGAGAAAGGAAGGGACAAGACTGTGAACTTACGATGCACAGACTTGAGTGCCATACACTGGGAGGCAAGGCGGCCCATTAGTCGAGAGACAAGGAGTTGCAAGTCTAACCCCCAAGACACGGCAACATCAGGCAGGCCGTAGGCAGTGACAGTGAATTTGTAGCCCCACTCATTATTGCTGCTGTCAGAATGAAAGAGGAATTGAAGCCGAGGACCATCCTTAAAGGTCACTTTCTAGAGACAAACAAAAGTCATGTGGTCAACAAGATGGAAGGAGGCAACAACTCAGCAGTAAGTATGCTCTTTGTGACTCAAAAAAATCTTAAAAGCGGTCTCCGTTTCTACAAGTTCGAAATTATTAAGGGAGAAATGTACAGAGATGATACTAAAACACAAAACTCACAACTACATTTAGAAAGCAGAATTAGTAGAAAACTGCTGCTCAGCTTTCTAAAACTCAAGTGACTATCTGCTGCTTATTAGCCAGTGATCATTGGCTCAGTTCTTTGTTCTCAACCAAGACGCTAGATAGGAGACAGAAGTAAACAGTCTGAAGCAGGCTCCCACCCAGAGATTAAGCATATCTGTCAGCTGGGGCTCCTATCTTTCACCACGGTTTAAGTCTTTCACTTGGATCCACTGGCCCTTCTGAACTCAGATTAACAGCTCTTTAATTTACTCTGGACAACACTGGGTATTAGCAAATTTCCTATGAAGAGCCAGATAGTTAAATTTTTAGCTTTTGTGGGCTACATAATCTCAACTGCAACTGTTCCTCCCTACAAGTAGAATATCAAAGCAACTGTTAGAAATATGGGTGTGGTTACATTCTAGAAATGTGCCAGTATTAAGGGTTGTACTCAGAGCTTTGAGTCTTTTTCAGTTATTTTGCTCATGGCTGTCACTCTACCATTCAAACCATGCCTCCACTCTGGCTTTCTGCTGGTTGAGATAGGGCTCTCTTACATTTGTCTACCTAGGCTAGTTTCAAACCTTATTCCTGAGATATCAACCTGCTGAGTAGCTAGGACTTTGAACATTATGAACTTGAGCCACCAGAGCCTAGCTAGTCCTTCTTTTTCCAAACACCATACTTTTATTGCTCTAAAGTTGGAAAAAGGACAAGAATTGCTACAGAAGTACTTATTTACCTTGTTTTGGGAATATGACTCACCTTAGGCCACTTATAAGTACCAACTTTTGTGTCATAGCGTGTCTTCCCACCTCTAGAGTCTGTAAATTCCAGATAATCATACCTGTGAAGGCATAATCTCTATTATATTCTTTCTCTTGTTTTTGATCCACTATTGCTTGGAAGAAAAAAACATGTGAGTCTTACCGCTTTTCAGTTTCACACCTCTCATCAAATTCCACTTCAAAATAGGTTGCCCCTGGGCTAACAAAGACAGATACTTCATGGCAGTTATTTTCATAGTTATGGGCAGATTCCTTGGTCCATGTATGTAGTACCACAGGCTGTTCCTGCTGCCAGGTCTCAACATCCAGCTAGGCAGACAAATGAGTAAGAGAAAATTCCAGATATTACTACACAACCGTCACAATAGACTATCAGTGCTGTAGATCACAGGCTTTGACAGCCCTGATGAAATTTTATACAAGCTAATCTGATTTTCCTGTCTACACAGAGATCAATAGACATCTATCACTTAGCAGAAGAGCATTAGGATTATACTTTAGGGACTCATGCTTTTATCTTTTAGCAGTGACAGAACAATTTTTAAAAATAACTACTGGTATGAATTCCACTGGAGAAAAACACTGAATTAAAAGTTTAAAGAGCTCACATTTTTATTTAGGACCTTGGCAAGTCTAAGACCACTCTTTTTTCCTCTTAAAAAAAAAAATGGAAGTGGCACCAAGAGCTCATGATTCTAATCCTGGAGATAAGAATCTCACAGGCTTTCCTGCCTGCACTGGCTTCAAATTGAGATCTTCAGATCTCAACTCCTGAGTAGTTAGTATTACAGGTATGAGCTACAAGCACCTGGCTAGACAAATCTTTCAGACTTTATTTACATACATTTTATGTAACTTAATATACTCTAAAATGATTAGATAAATTATACTGCTTTTCTGCCTCCTTTCTAATGCTAATGACAAATCAAGATGATATTTACTATCCTTGTTGGCAAAAATACCAATAAAGCTTCTAGAGGCAATTTATTTGTATATAGCTGTAGTCCAATATGTTTTATTGGGTAGAGTCATATCTCTCTGAAGAGAGGAAGCAATACAGGTTCAGGGCCAACTGAAGTTACCTTGCTCAGTCCTCCTTCAGGGTCATTGCAGAGCTTCTTCAACAGCTCTGTCAAGGTACTGAACTCTCTCAAGAGAGTACAGTGTGAAATGTCCAAAGAACAGAAGTCTAGGAGAAAGATGACCTAAAGGAAAATGAAGGAAGTACTCAGTATTCATTGCACATGCTGGTATTTCCACCAGTCCCCTCCCTGCTTATTGAAAATAGCCATTTCTCCTTACCAGTTGACGAGCTGCCATGGAAAACACTGAATTACACAGTTTTTCTACTATGGTTTTTCCACTATACTGTGACAAAAGGGATTCCAAAATCACTCTCATGCTTGCCAGAAACTGTCCCACATCTATCAAAACATAAAGTAGTTAATATTTTATATGGTAAGAACATCATTTACTACATTATTACCGAAGGCAAAGCTAGGGAGGGCTATAGAAGCTGACTACCAAAGCAGGGAGAAGGGAACAGCAGATCACAAAACCATTAAGCATCATCCAAATGAACAATGTCAATCTAATTTCCTCTGAAAGGGAAAAGCAGTGAAAATTTCAGTAGTTGGTATGACAGATAGTTAAGTTTGATTTTTTTTTTTACTTTGTTGCTTTTCAATGAAGTGGAGATATCACTCTAAGTTATGTCTTTGATCCCAGCACTCAGAAGGCTGAGGAAGAAATGAGAATTCAAGGGCAGCCTGGGAGGACAGCAAGTTCAAGGCCAGCATGGGCTACACAGTGAAAACTTATCTAAAAGAAGTGGTGATGCCTGTAGTCCTAGCTACTTGGGAGGACTGCAGTTTAAGGTCAGCCTAGACAAGAAGTTTGAGAGAACTTATCTTGAGAGACCTCATTTCAACCAATAAAAATCTGAACATATGATTATATATTTGTAGTTCCAGATATTTGGGAAATACAAATAGGAAAACTACAGTCCAAGCTGGCCCAGACATAAATGTAATATTTGAAAAATGAGTTAAGTAAAAAGGGGGTGTGGCTGAGTTATACCTGCTTAGCAAGCATAAAGCCCTGAATTCAAATACCAGTACTGTGAAGGAAAGAGAAAGGAGAGGGGAAGGGAAAAGGAAAAGGGGAAAAGAAAAGGGACGGGGGAAGGAAAAGGGAAAAATAAGAAAAATTGACCAAATGAGTCAGCTCTTAATCTTCCCTTTCCTTTAGTTTACAAAGGGTCCATGAATTAAGGGTTCTGATCTAAGGCCAAGGCCTAAGTGGCCTGATCCAGAATTCTAAGCATTTTGTCACAGTTGCTGAGACCAAATTTGGCAGAAATGAATAGTCAATTTCCCACCATCTGTTGGATTTCATAAAATTTTCTGTCGATTTACAGGAAACAAGTATCAATATTTTCAGTGACTTATAAAAGTCATAGATTTTAAAAGCTCAAGACTTTCTTTTGAGGGTGACAATTAACAGAGATGGCAGACTCCCCTGACATTCAATAATATCACTTAAGAGTGTTGTATGATTGCAAAGAGAATGACTAGGCAGTAGAATGACCAAATTCTAAATAAAAACACTAATGCTAATGGCTCATAACTGTAATCCTAGCTACTCAGCAGGCTGAGATCTGAGGATCAAAGTTTGAAACCAGCCCAGGCAGGAAAGTCCATGAGACTCTATCTCTAGCTAACAAGCAAAAAGCCAGAAGTAGAACTGGCTCAAGTGGCAGAGTGCTCATCTTGAGCAAAAAAGCTAAGGGAAATGCCTAGCCCCCAATTTCAAGTACTGGCAATCCCCCTCCCCCCAAAAAAGAAAAAAGGCTAGGCATTGGTGGCTCATGCATGCAATCCTATCTACTCAGGAGGCTGAGTTCTATGCCAACTTGACTCTATCTCCAATTAACCAGGAAAAGGGCAGGAAGGGGTGCTGTGGCTCAAGTAGAGCAATAGCCTTAGGCAATAAAGCTCAGCCACAGCACTCAGGCCCTAGGTTCAAGACCCAGAAATAGCACCAAAAAAAAGACAAAAATAAGCTGAACAAGGTGGTGACACAGGCTTGTAATTTCAGCACTTGAGAGGCTGAGGTAAGAGAATCATGAATTCAGGGCATGCCTCAGCTACATAGTGAGATATTGTTTCAACAAAAACAAAAACTTCCAAATAACAAAAACAAAAGCAGAAATAACTATAGATCTGAATTGAAATAAGCCATATACATACTTGATGCATGAGTTATAACTATCTGTTTTCATGGATTGTGTATTGATACTCACATTTTTTCTATAAGGTACACAGCAAGATCTTTGGCTCCAGAGTCTGTGCTCTTCAGTTGCAGATAGCACCAGGAGAGCAGACTCCCTTGCACAGACCAGAACAGAGAAAAGAGCACAGAGCCAACTTCCCCTGGTGCCTCACTGAGCATCAACAGCTCACACTACAAAGAAACAGACAAACAGGAAATGTCCAAATAGGGTGTTCCCAAGCCGGGCGCTGGTGGCTCACGCCTGTAATCCTAGCTACTCAGGAAGCTGAGATCTGAGGATCTCGGTTCAAAACCAGCCCGGGCTGGAAAGTTCGTGAGACTCTTATCTCTAATAAACCGCTAGAAAACCAGAAGTGGTGCTGTGGCTCAAACGGTAGAGTGCTCACTTTGAGCTGAAGAGCACAAGGACAGCACCCAAGCCCAGAGTTCAAGCCCCACGACAAAAACAAACAAACAAACAAACAAAAAACACCAAATAGGGTGTTCCCAGAACTTGGGCAGGAACTATCTCTATAAAAGCAGCTGTCACTGGCAAAGCAAAAACAAAAAACTATATGTATGGGGCAAAATTATGAAAGAGCTTTCAATCCAGAAGTGAACCAAGAAAAATGGCGTTAGGAAAACTTCCCTATTGCTCTGCAATTTTGTGGAACCTACAAATGTTTTTTTGCTCCACAAAACATCTTCTGCACCCCAAGAAGCCCATTCCATTGTTCATCTCTTTTTTGTAATGAATCTTCTATCTCTGGGCCCTTCTCCTGAGTCTTCAATCAAATCTTTCGATAGCAGGGTTGAGGGAGAATTGAAAAGAAGGTGAGTCTGATCAAGGTATTGCATGAGTTTTGTTTTGTTTTTGTCAGTCGGGGGGCCTGCACTCTGGGCCTGGGCACTGTCCCTCAGCTCTTCAGCTGTAGACTAGTGCTCTACTGCTTGAGCCACAGCACCACTTCTGGCTTTTTCTGCTTATGTGGTGCTGAGGAATCAAACCCAGGGTCTCATGCATGCAAGGCAAGCACTCTACCACTGAGCCACCTTCCCAGTCCCTACATTGTATGAGTATATGGACATGTCAAAATAAAACTACCCTGTACAACAAATTGATAATAAAATATAGAAAAAATAAAGATAATCCATTATTGAAGGACAACAATAGGAAAATCACATTTTCTAGCAATTTATTTGAAAATGAAAATATAAATTCAAACATCAAAAATTGTTATGCTACAGTCATGTGACCTCTTTACTAGGCTTAAACAACAATAACAACAACAAAAACAGAATTGCTAGTGATATCACTGATATTGTGTGACTGGGGGCAGTGATCTCACTAAATGTTAGCTCTTCATTTTTGGAAAAGTATGTCTAATTTCAGGCTAAAGACCAATGTCAAGCTAATTGATGAACCAGGAGCTACATATTGTTTTAAATGGTAAAAATATATCACTAAAAAGAACAGAAGCCTTTATTTGTTCTTTTTGTGCCAGTGCTAGAGCGTGAGCTAAAGACCTGAGTGCTGTCCCTCAGCTTTTTTTGCTTGAGGCTACTACTGCTCTACTACTTGAACCAGAGCTCTACTTCTGGCTTTTCTGGGGGGTAGGGGGAGAAGAGGTGGTTAATTGGAGATAAAAAAAAAATTTATATTCTTTCCTGCCCAGACTGGCTTGGATCTCAGCTATCTGATTAGCTGTAATCTAGCACCTGGCAAAACCTTTAATTTTTTTTTTAAATTTTAATTTTTGCCAGTCCTGGGGCTTGAACTCAGGGCCTGGGCGCTGTCCCAGAGCTTCTTTTGCTCATGGCTAGCACTCTACCACTTGAGCCACAGTGCCATTTCTGGCTTTTTCTATATATGTGGTAATGAGGAATCAAATCCCGGCTTCATGGATGCTAGGAATCTAACTGAGGGCCTCATGCATGCAAGGCACGCACTCTACCACCACAAAGCCACATTCCCAGCCCAACCTTTAATTTTTAAAAGTGTAATTTACAAAGGATTGAAATTGGACCACTGTGTGGAATCTCTATATAAGGAAGTTGTTTTTATAAAAAATAATATTTTAAGTTAGGAGAATTGACTAAATGACTATAGAATTTAGAATTTGTAAATGGAAGAAGTAGCCTTGTAGCTTATAATCTTCCTACCACTGAAAATGCTTAGAGATGTCTGTTGAAGATGAATATGTATACTAATGAGCCCAATACTTTAGAAATGACCATTCAATTTATGTCTGATTTTTTTGTGTGCCTGAAAAAAAATTGTGCCTGTATATTGGAAGAGAAGATGGGATTTTCCCACTTTCGTATTTTATTTTAAAAACCTACTTGAAAATAATTCATGATCCTTCTGTGACTCTTTGTCATCTTTGTTCTTTGTTCTTTCTTTGAAGGGGCATCTAACCTCCAGAGAGAAATTCTGGCACATAAGAATTATGAAGTTGGAGCTGGGAAGGTGGCTCAGTGGTAGAGTGCTTGCCTTGCATGCATGAGGCCCTCAGTTAGATTCCTCAGCACCACATAAGCAGAAAAAGCCAGAAGTGGGGCTGAGGCTCAAGTGGTAGAGCGCTATAGCTGAAGAGCTGAGGGACAGCACCCAGGCCCAGAGTTCAGGCCCTACAAACAACATTAAAAAAAAAAATTATGAAGTAGCCGGGTGTCAGTGGCTCAGGCCTATAATCCTAGATACTCAGGAGGCTGAGATCTGAGGATCATGTTTCAAAGCCAGCCCAGGCAGGAAAGGCTATGAGACACTTATCTCCAATAAACCACCAGAAAACTGGAAATGGCACTGTGGCTCACATGGTAGAGTGCTAGCCTTGAGTTGAAGAGCTGAGGGACAGCGCCCAGGCCCAGAGTTCAAGCCCCACAACCAACAAAAAAACAAAACAAAAAACAAAATAAAAAACTATGAAATATGCTAATATGAGCACTGTCTGTAATTAATTCCTCTAAACTAGAATCAACCCATATACCTCTCCAAATAAAACAGATAATTATGGTATGTCCTAAAGAGACTATTGTGGTACAAATGACAACACATGAATGAACCTCAAAAACATTGTTAAGCAAAACAAATATTTCACAGAAGATTGTATGCTATCAAGGTAAAAAAAAAAACCAGGCAATAACAACACATTGTACAGGGATGACTAGAAAGAAAAACAAGGGGGCTGGGAAGGTGGCTCAGTGGTAGAGCGCTTGCCTTGCATGCATGAGGCCCTGGATTCGATTCCTCAGCACCACATACGCAAAAAAAGCCAGAAGTGGGGCTGAGGCTCAAATGGTAGAGCGCTAGCTGAAGAGCTGAGGGACAGCGCCCAGGCCCAGAGTTCAGGCCCCACGACTGGAGCCCCCCCCCCAAAAAAAACCAAGGAACCTGTGAACACACACTTAAAAATTATACTACAGAGAGAGTTGTTTTCACTCATTGTCCATCCATATCTATTCTTTTATCTGTGAACCACATTTTGAAATGGTCCCTTCATGCTGTGGTTTTGGTTTTCCTTCAATCCCATTCTACTGTCTCTATTGGATCACTTCCCAGTTACCTCCTGTAGAGCAAAGCCTCTTCACTGAACCTCAGACTCTGCAAACTATGGCCCTCTTTAAGCTCTTTCTCTTTTCTCTGCCAGAATTTCTTCCTGATACTCCTTCCTACTGTCCTGGCTACCTTCTTTGTAGATTTCCTCAAGATGCCCATGAGTAATGTGAGGCAGTCCCCAATCATGACTTCCTGTTCGTTACTGGTTACAAATCTTTAGCCACAATTTTCTATCTTGAGAGTGCAACTAGGTCTTACCACCTGAAGGCCACTAAAACCATGAATACCACATGTTCAGAATCTACCCATTATCATCCCCTTTTTAGTCACCTGTTCCTTCCCATTTCATCACAGGCCCACTCCATTTGAAATGTCCCTAACTTCCTCTTTGCTTGTTTAAGCCTATTCACAGTCCTGCCCTGAGCTCAGAACTTCTTTTCCAAAATGCCTTTCCCTCTCCCTAGACCTGTGCTCATCCTTTGACAGCCTGATGTATGGTCAAAACTATCTAATCACACATTTGTTTGGGCTCCTCTATCATTGTATCCTCTGTACCTGATGTGAGGCCTCACACACAACAGGCATTGGGTAGACATTGTTGAACTAACAGGCATGAGAAAAATCTCAGGTCAGGTGTACTTTAGCCATTTTTACTTTTTTTTCTCCTAATGTAACTCTGTCTATCTCCCTCCCTATAACCATAAATGCTTGCTTTTACAAGAAGATAATTCAGTGGCTGCAATAATCTCTTGCCTAGAAGGTTTAATGGTATATGCAATTTCCTCTGTATCACAGATGAGAGAAAGGGAAGAAAGGACAAGTACTTGATGTCCCAGTGGTACGGGATTATGGGAAATTAATTCTCTTGGACAGTTAGTGGGATTTCAGAGTTGAATGACCCAGTTGAAGAGCCAGGTTTCAGTGGTGTTCCAGCATCTTGAGCTCCTGCTTCTATCAACTTGTAAGAACCCTGAAGTTTTCTCCCAGTGGCTTTGACTGAGAATGGTAAGAGCTTGAAGAGGTTTTTAGAGGTTGAAGAATATGCAGGATTGAGATGTGCTACAAGAGAAAGAGAAAGTATAGAAAATGGCAGAAATAACAATGGAGATTAGAATGATCCATGGTGCACTGGAAAGACAGCACATATCAATGATCTTGTGAGAATTTTAAGGAAGACTCAGAGATGGGCAGAATAGTCTGGACATATGAGAGAAAACTGATGTAATGGCAAAAACAATTCTAAAAAAAGTTAAAACTGTAGCCAGGTATGGTAGCTCATGCTATAATCGCAGCTGTAATTCAAGGAACACCCAGAAAAAAGTTCACTACATCTTACCTTAAACGATAGCTTGGGGTGTACCTCTTGCCACTATAGTTACTTGGGAGACCAGGACCAGGAGGATCTCAGTCCAGACCATGCAAAAACTGAGACACTATCCTCAAAATGACAGGAGTAAAAAGGGCTAGGAGGCACAGCTCAGGTGGTAGAGCACTTGCTTAGCAGGCATGAGGCAAGTGAATTCAAACCCAGTACCATCAACCCCACCCACACTCCAAAAAAAAATCCCCACAGTGACTGTCTTATTACATACTCTTAAAGAAGCATGAGGTAAAGAATGGAGAAGAAAACAGCAGGTACCTCTCGAGCAGCCACAGAAAGGAGGGTATTCATGACAGCTAGGACTTCACCAATGTTCATGCCAGCAAGGTCACTTTTCTCAGGTAAAAGTAGAAGGCCACCTGGGTCTTTATCACTGAAAGGACACAAACTCATTACACCTGTTTGTAGGAAGGGGCTTTTCCTGGTCAGGTTCCAATAAAGAACCCAGAGAGATGTCAGCATCAGTTCTATGAAATAGAGGGATTTGGGTCAGAAAGACAAATGGTAGTTACAACTAGGAGTATGCCACTGTCTGTCTATATGCCTTCCAAAAGCACAGGCACATAAATTACCTTGATATCAGTGTTAAATATATCTTATATCATGACTGGTAACTCAACAATCCAGGCTAACGATCCCTGTATCTTCAAATGTTCTTCATGCAACACCTCCAGGACCTATCATCATCTTCGTTAACTGATTCTGAAAGCATTTTATACAAATAGCCCTAAATCTGGCATCCAGACCAGATAGTCCGACTTGCAAGTTCCCTCCCTCCTTTAAGAGTCTGTGCCTCCATTAAGGAACTCTACAGTCCCATCGGCTTCTCTGATGGGACTGTAAGTCTCCATATACTCTCTTCCTAGAATGTTTCTTTCTACACATTACTTCTCTGTGCTTTTTCAGTTGTTGTAATGTAGGACTGAGGACCCCAAACTCCTTTGGTTTTAGTTTTTGATTTTGATATTTAATTAGAGACTGAAGTTCTCAAGAAATCCTCACTAAGGCTGGGAAGGTGGCTCAGTGGTAGAGCGCTTGCCTTGCATGCATGAGGCCTTGGGTTTGATTCCTCAGCACCACATAAGCAAAAAAGAAAAAAGCCAGAAGTGGTGCTCTGGCTCAAGTGGTAGAGTACTAGCCTTGAGCTGAAGAGCTGAGGGACAGCGCCTAGGCCCAGAGTTCAGGCCCCACAACCGGACCCCCCCCCCTCAAAAAAAGAAGTCCTCACTGGGTTCAATACTACTACCTTGTCTTATAAGGGACTTGGATTAAGGTCTTGACAGGATTATCAGTCTATCACTATTTTAGTCATTCTCATGCCTAGTAGGAACTCAAGAAACTCTCTAAATTCTGGGTAGGAGAAGCACTACTCCAAAAGCACAGAAGGAAGGGCTAGTTAAAGAAAAATAACTACAGAGGTTAGAATTATTCAATAATCAAGGAGAATCAAACTTACCTAAAGTATGTGCACAGTGAATGGAATGTGAGCTGCAGGGACTGCTTATGTTCTTGCTCAGTAATATTCTTCTAGAAAGCCAGAAAAAGGACATTCAGAAAATCTACTTCATGACACTCCACAGACATATGGTACCATGAAATAACATCATGTACTTGTCCCAAGTATGAGGAGAGCAGATTAAGCAGACCACCTTGTGGCAGTGAACTAAACCTCCGTCCAGTATCAGGAGAGGGCAGAACCTACTACGTAAACAAAAGCTGGCAGGTAAGTTTGGTTTATGCCCAAAGGTAATTTCTGCAAGTTTTCCTTTTGGAAGGTTTGACCCAATAGTTGAAGATGCTGACTTCTAAAAGATATACACTATCAGAGGAAGAGACAAAGGCAGGGATAGAGTATGTTTTTTTGTGAGCTTTCTGTTGTTTAAACACTGTTAGAGCTTTCCCTTTATCTTGTAGATTTACAGACTATGCTTACAATCATAGGAATCAGGCCTCCAGACAGGGCTATTGAGTTATTTTGGGGGAAGCTTACTGTTTGAAAATAAATGTACTGAATAGTTAATGCTGTGCAAGGCATTTGATGGAGGGTTCAAGAAGACCCAACATGAAGGCTGGGAAGGTGGCTCAGTGGTAGTAGAGTGCTTGCCTTGTATGCATGAGGCCCTAGATTCAATTCTTCAGCACCACATACACAGAAAAAGCCAGAAATGGGTGCTGTGGCTCAAGTGGTAGACCTCTAGCCTTGAGCTGAAGAGCTGAGAAACAGAGCCCAGGCCAGAGTTCAGGTCCCACGACCAACAAAAGAAAAAAAAAAGAAGACCCAAGATGACAGAGACAGTGAGGGAGACAGGGGCGGGGGTCACATAAACATAAGGATGCTGGACAAAGAACAGCTTAGTCAGGTAAAATATTAGCAAAGTTCAATTCATTAGCATAAGAAGAAAACAAAAATCCTCACCACTGCTTTCTGAAGGGCTGATAAAAACAAATGACCCAGGGCTGATCTACTAACAGTCACTAGTATTATGCAGGAAGCCATGTGCCCTCTACTTTTTTGTGTAGGATGAAATAAAAATTATTCAATTAGCTACTGGTAAATGCAAAGAATTGGGACAATATTCTATTTGCTAACAGAGTGCTTTTAAATACTTAAAGCACCCTTGTACTCCAGTACTTAGTCTGAGTAACATGACAGTATCTAAAAACTGAGCAATAAAAAAACTGGAGAAACAAAACTTGGTAATATTGTTTTACAGGTATATTTTGAAGTACTGATGAATAAAATGGTCATATACTTACTTCAAAATAATACTGGGTAGGAGGGAGAAGAGTAGGTGGGGTATATTATAAATGAAACAAGATAAGCTTATCATTATTGAAGGTAAGTAATGAGTACACTTGGGGGTGAGACAACTATCTACTTTACTTTTTTTTTTGTCAGTCATGAGGCCCGAACTCTGGGCCTGGGCGCTGTCCCTCAGCTCTTCAACTCAAGGCTAGCACTCTACCACTTGAGCCACAGTGCCACTTCTGGCTTTTTCTGCTTATGTGGTGCTAAGGAATTGAACCCAGGGCCTCATGCATGCAAGGAAAGCACTCTACCACTGAGCCACCCAGTCTGCCCCCTCTTTCTTTTTTGTGTCATGGGGCTTGAACTCTGGGCCTGGGCACTGTCCCTCTACTCTTCAGCTCAAGGTTAGTGCTCTACCACTTGAGCCACAGTGCCACTTTCAATTTTCTGGTGGTTTATTGGAGATAAAAGTCTCATGGCCTTTCCTGCCTAGGCTGGCTTTGAACTGCAATCCTCAGATCTCAACCTCCTGAGTAGCTAGTATTACAGGAGTGAACAGCCAGCACCTGGCCAACTTATGTATTTGTTTAAAATTTTCTCATAATTTGGTTGTAACCAAGTCATAAAGCTGGAGACTAAACTGTGACTTGTGAGACAAAAGCTTATACAATACAGATTAGAAATGAGCATAGGGTCATGTCCTTTGATATCTATTTTGCACAAAGGCTTTAGAAATCTATCAACAAACATTTGGGAAACTCAAACTGAAATATTCAGAACATATAAAAAGTAACAAATCTCATCCTAATTGACTTCAGCGAAAGAATCCACACCTACAGTAAATAATTACCATCATAGTGAAGAGATGGTTCCGGCGGGTCTGTCGATCAGGAAAGAATATGGCAGCCCCATTGAGAAGGGTTTTCTTAACTTCTTGCTTTAGAATCTCCACAAGTACTGAGTCTCCATCTACCTTATCTACCACTAATAAAAAAGAACAATGAAATCAACTGTCATAAATTCTGTCAATGTTCATCCACTAAACCATCCTACAGACACACTAGTATTTTGTAGTTAATGCCAGAGCAAAGAAACATCTTTGCATAGGTTAGGGGTTTTTTGTTTAAATTAGTAAAAGTACTTTATTCTCCTCTTGTATTTGCTCTATACTTTGCTTTACAAAGTTATGAAGTTCACAGCTTTATACCAAAATGTAAGAAGACTAAATTACTTTTATCTTCTTTTGAGACACAATTTGGCAAAGCCTTTAAAAATAACTTCAAATCTGGGTGCTGGTGACTCACACTGGTAATTCTAGCTACTCATGAGGCTAATATCTGAGGATCATAGTTTGGAGCAAGCCCAAGTAGGAAAATCTGTGAGACTCTTTCTTTATAATTAACCACTTAAAAGCCAGAAGTGGAGCTGTGGCTTAAATGGTAGGATGCAAGTCTTTAGAGAAAAAGCTAAGGGACAGTTCCTAGGCTCTGAGTTCAAGTCCCAGCACCAGCACAGTAATAATAACAATGTCAGATAGTAACATGAATTTTGTCCTAGTTTATCTTTACAATCTCCCCCCCTTAATCTTTTAGCTTCAACCCATTGCCTTGACTAAAACTGAGACTCAACAGTGTAATGGTGATTATTCTCAATATGATATAGCTGTACATCTGAAACTAGAAGTCAATTGATGAAAGAATAAATATGGACACAAAATAGTAATTCCAACGGATATCAAAAGCAATACTTATTTTTCACAATAGTGATCCCTTATTGGCTTGCATCATCACAGAACCCCTCTGCAGGCCCACCCACAATCCTCTACAGCAAGAGGTTTGTGGCACTGGCAGAGGGTTGTGTTCAAGGCATACCCAGTCCCTACCATCACATAAGTGTGTATAGAGCTCCTTGGCAGCCTGTACTCTCTCCGGATGCTGAGCTGGAGGCTTCCCCTCCTCAGAGGCAGTAGGCACATCTCCCTGCAGCACTGAAAAGCAACTCTGCAGAAGCTGCAGTAGCAGGGTTTGGGCACAGATGCACTCTTCTCTTGGGCTGCAGAAGGACAAAGAATATCAGAGTGGGGGGCAAGTTGCTTTCACATTCCAAGCCACACAGCTATTTACAAAGGACTCTCCTTTCAGTGAAAGGGATGTCAAATGAGAGGAAGTAAGGTAGAACAGAAAGAACAATGCAATAAGTGTCTGACAATACAGACTAATCTGATTCTGTAAACTGTGGGGAAAGAAATTTAATGCTCACAAGCAGAAAAGGTCAGATAAGTTGATGTTAGGGGAATGAACCCCAAGATAAGTATTCAAATTTTTTTTTTATTTCATGCAATTGTTTCTAACATATATTTATAAGATGATTTCTATGTTGCTTTGTATGCCCCTCCCCCACGGTATAACCCCTGCTTCACTGTATTTGATGTTGGTATAATTTGTGGAGGGGAAGGGCAAAAACAAATCGTTTAACTAGGGATACAGGTGGACCCATTGCAACAATGAGATGTACAAGTCGTTATGTCGAAAAACAAACTTTACAACTTTGGTGGGGTGGGGGGAGGATCAGGTGGGGAGTGGTGGGGAGAGTATGGGAAGGGATGGGAAGGGGAAACAAAGAGGAGGCAACAATGCTTGTTGCCTTGTACTTGTTATTTTGCCCATGTAATTGTAACTCCTCTGTACAGTATTCTCACAATAAAAAAATAATAAAAATAAAAAGAAATTTAATGCTCAGCATGCTTCATCATCTGTGAAGTGACACTTGAAAAGCATCCTTTATCTGAACTTCTGGGGACCATGATATAAGATTTTCAAATCTGGGACTTTTTCTGATGTAGGGATATTTATAAATACCTACTGAGCTCTATTGGGGATAGAACCCAAGTCTAAATGTGGATGAATTCCACATTTCACATACACCATATATACATATTCTGATATTAACTAGGTATAATTTTCTTTTTTGTGGTGCTGGGGATTACATCCAAGACCTTGTGGCTGCTAAGCAAACCCCCAGGCATACAATAATTTTAGTATATCAGAAGTGTGCCTGATTCATAGTATGAAGTCAGACATGAAATTTTCTAATTGTGGCATGTAAAAAGTTTCAGATTTTGGATCATTTCAGATGTGGCATTTGGGAGTTAGGAATGCTCAACCTGTATCACTATAATACTTGGCCTGCTTGTCCCAAAAGTTGTAAGGATAATCAAATAACAAAATATTGGTAAAAATACTTCCTAAATATTTATGTAAAGTATTATTTTAGCAATAATCAAGTATTTCATATAAGAACAATAAATACTAGTACAAAGTAAAAACAATTTAGAAGAAAAAAAGACTATTTAGAATAGCACAATTTGATATTTGTAGTTTTGTTTATAACTATCACCTCATAATTAATTCTAACCTACCTTTGTTTTAGTTTACTGTAAAACTTCCAGAAGATCTGTAAATCAAGACCCGTGAAGTCCAGAAAAGATTTATATTTTAAGCCACTTTTTTTTTGTTGCACCTAAAAAAAGTACAGAGACCAGAAAAAGTTAAACTGAAAATTTTAAAGAAATATTATAATGACTCATTTACTTGTTATTGATAAGGAGTAGGGTGGGTTCTACCCAGTGAAATTTCCACACTACAGACATAACTAGTTACTAAAAAGTGTATAAAAATTTGCTTTAGGGCTGGGAAGGTGGCTCAGTGGTAGAGTGCTTGCCTTGCATGCATGAGGCCCTGGGTTTGAGTCTTCAGCACCACATAAGCAGAAAAAGCCGGAAATGGTGCAATGGCTCTAGTGGTAGCGCGCTATCCTTGAGCTGAAGGACAGTGCCCAGGCCTAGAGTTCAGGCCCCATGACCAGCAAAAAAAAAAAGCTTTAGTGTAATAAATTTCTCTACAGTGTGTATGTAAAAATACACATACATACACTAATAAGCACTGCTAACACATATATGACCCACAAAGACTCCCTGAGTTCACAACATGGCACTTGGAACATAAATCAACCAACTGGTGATAATAACCAGGACTATATTTCAGTATGATTAACCCTTCCTTGCAAGTGAGCTGAACTGTTATAAGTCAGGTGCTACTCCTAGGGCCTTTCCCCCTTTTCTGCTGTGTTAGAAGCTCTTGAAAAACAAAGATCTAAGAGATCATACGTACATTGAGTAACTAGCCTTATAATGTGCCTTGAGTAAAGGAATGTCAAGGGTAGATACTGCTGTATAGACACAAAGGCTTTACTGAATTCTAACACTCTATGGTGATGGCTGTAAGCTTTTTCTTTTAAGTGAATTGTCAGAGTGTTTTATTAGAGACTATAAGTTAGCATCAAAAACAAAAATCTTGACATTTTAGTTCTTTTAGCAAAGAAAGTTCACTGAGACTTCATTATACTTTTCCTAAGATTTGAAGAAGATCTAAATCCTATGAAATCATTTGAAGAAGATCTAAATCCTATGAAATCATTTGGAGCAAGTATGGCTGGGATCTTTATCATATGCCAGTAGCTCTACTCCTGAAGATCTTACAACAATGTGTCACTTAAGGCCATAAGTGTCCACTACTTTCCTTGGCCTTGCAATTTCATCACATACCATGATGGTTGTTCTGCTCATTCATATTGCTTTGGCTTCAGTAAAGTCAAGTTTTACTGGCTTGTGTTCACTTAACAATGTCATTTGTTTTTCCTAGAAGAAGCAGTCTAACAACTGAGGAAACGCTACCAGGTCATGAGCAAGCTGTTGGATGAACTGCAGGGTCCTGAGGAGCAGGGTGGCACCACAAGCACTCTCTGTATCCTTCTTGCAGTGGGCACAGAGGATACTTTGCTCTGCTTCTGCTCTTGCAGGCCGAAGGTACCCACTGATGCTCAAGCCTTGCACTCCCAAGCGCTCTGCTGATTCCTGACGGGTGCACAGGAACTTCACCATCAAATACTGGGGGATTAAAAAAAAAAGAGATCTCAAGAGGACTCAGAATCACTAAATATAATGTCGGGGTGAAGGAGACTTTCTGGGAAGATCTTCCTATGTTTGTAACTTAATAGGTATAACCATGCCCAAAATTGGAGTACAAAATATAAGTTCATTATATAAAACAAACAGGAAGAAAAATAATACACTGAATGAAGTCAGATCTTAGTAAAGATCCTAATAAGAGAAATGGCTCTTTTGAAGGCAAAACACAAGGTAAGAATAAAAAAATATGAAAGAGTAAAAAAGGCTTCTTCAGTATAGTAATTTTGAAACAAAAAACTGATATATAATGAAAATGACCAATGCCCTAAAGAATCACCTCAAAGCCCCCAACTGGCATATGTAACCCATAAGCTGGGACTTGAGGATGCACTCTTGTTTACACAAAGCAAAGGTCATTTCCAAAGCTCAACTTTATTTTTTAATTAACTTATTTATTATTTTTTATTTATTTTTGGCAGTACTGGGTTTGAACTGAGGCCTTATGTTTTCTACCCTTTGAAAACACCCCAACACAAAAATGGAGGGACATGGAATGAACAAATGCAGCAGTGGTACTCAGTAGAAACTATGTTGAAAATGAACTATACATACAACTTTTGGGTGGGTACAGAAGGGAAAAACTAGGAGAGAACCAAGGACTGTCCAAGAAGAAATGTACTCATTACCCATCTTATGAAATAGTAACCCTCCCTGCACATCACCTTTATAAAAACAACAAAAATGTTTTTAAAGTTTTAAATTTAGGTTTCATATATAGGTCATAATCCAATTTGAGCTGTGAATTATGAAGTATATAAGATCTGGGTCTAGATTTTCTTTCTTTTAATCTTTTGCATATGATTGTCCAGTTGCTCCAGCACATTTACTGAACACTGTCTCTTTTTTTCCAATAAATTATCTTTGCTCCTTTCTCAAGAAAGAAAAATACCTCAATCTTTTTTTGCTTCTATTTTTTATATTTTATAGTCTCATTTTTTGCCCAAGTTAGCCAATACCACAATCCACTTATTTACATATCTCACACAGCTAGGATGACAGGTATGCACTATGGTGCCCAGCTTTTTTTTTTTTAATTTTCTTTTACTGGCAAGATGATATACAGAGGGGCTTCAGTTTTATATATATAAGGTAATGAGTACATTTCTTGTTGAACATTTTTACCCCCTCCCCCATTTTTCTCCCACTTTCCCTCGGCCCCTACAATTCCCGGCCCAAGTCGTAAAGTTCATTTCTGACATACTGTCTTTTTAAAAATATATATATTTATTATAAAGATACTGTACAGAAGGGTTACAGTTATATGAGTAAGGTAGTGGGTACAATTCCTATCGAATTGTTACCCCCTCCTTTGTTTTTCCCCTACCATTCCTTCACTCCCCTGCATGGAATTGTAAAGTTCATCTTGTACATTGCATTGTTATAATGGGTCAACCTGTATCCCTATTTAAGCATTTTATTTTTTCCCTTCCCCTTCCCAAATTAGAAAAATGTATATACAGGATGCTTTTTATTGGTCAAGATGAGATCTTCTCAACTTTATTTTGCCTAGGCTGATCTTCATCTGTGATCCTTCAAATCTCAGCCTTCCCAAGTATCTAAGATTATACGCATGAGCCACTGTGACTAGTTAAAAGCCCAATTTTTGTGCAAATTGCTTTTTATGGAACAGTTCCTTCTTTAACAACTTTTCCAAATCTAGTATTCAACTGCATAAAAAGCCTTGAAGATAGTTCTTAACTCTCTTATTATTTAAGTCTCAGCCTCAGATTTATACTTGAAGTTAAGAAAAAATTAAGTGGCCAGATAGCTCTTTGACAGTCTCTTTCACTGCCAGGCAAACACATCTCTTGCACATATGCCTGTGTACTTGCTTCTCAGCCTAAGATGAACTTCTTCACACATCTCCACCAAGTCAAGGATGATGGCTTAACTTCTGGCCCTTTATTTCACACCATCTTTCCTAGTGCATTCAAGGCTGTTTTGAATCTTCTTCCTGTGGGTTCCAACTGCCCCTGTATATTCCTTTATCACAGCCATATTATGTCTGTGTCTCCCACTATACTAGGGACTCCTTGAGAATTGTTCCACCTCTGGGGTTCCATTTTGGCTTAGGGCTGGCCTAAAATTAGCACAGAGTATACACAATAAGAAGAGGGTAGGAGTAGAACATGCGAGTGTTGTGCTCACTAATGCTTACTTTGGCAACTCGGCACTGCTGCAGTTTGACATCTGTTTCATCCCTCTCTTCTTCTAGCTCAACCCAGCCAATAGGAACACCTTCTCCAAGGTCTTCAGATGAACAGCCAGCCCTGTGTACAGAATGACAATTAAAAGAATTTCCTGTTCCTAAGCTTCTCCAGAATCTAGCATGTAAAGCCACATTCATATAGGAGTTACCTCATATACAAAGCCTGTCACTTAAAAGTAGGACCAGGGATAGCGCCCACTCCCCACTGGGAATACATGAGGTAGTGGTCTGATAGAGGCCCTCCCAATTTGTAGCAAACTCATCTGTAAAATCAAAGTTAAGAAGAAAGGTTGCCTCTCTATACAGTGGCTTATCTGAAGAACCAGACTTAATGAGACTCTCATGAGAGAGGCATAATGACCACTATATCTCAAAAGAGCTATGGAAAGGAAGGCCCAGCTTCTCTGGCTCATTTTCCACACATCTGTCTGACTAATGCGTGACCAGTGTGGGGTCTGGACACTCACAAACAGCTGAAAGCAAAAGTCTGCGGGCTTTCAGACCCTGGAATTCCAATAAAGAAAATCTCACTCTTCATAGACCTTCATATTCTTTTTAGTTCTTAAGAAGTCCTTCTAAGCCAGGCACTGATGGCTTACACCTGTAATCCTAGGAGGCTGTGATTTGAGGACTGCAATTCAAAGCCAGTTCAAGAAGAAAGTCCATGAGATTCCTATCTCCAATTAACCACCAAAAAGCTGGAAAGAGAGCTGTAGCTCAAGTGGTAGGTTAGTAACCTTGAGCAAAAGCAGCTCAGGGACAGTGCCCAGACGTTGAGTTCATTGAGTTCAAGCTCTAAGACCAGCACCACCCCGCCCCCTCCAAAAAAAAAGTCCTTCTAGGAAAGTTTTCTACAATGGTGGGCCACTTTTTTTTTTTTTTTTCCTGTCAGCCATGGGCCTTAAACTCTGGGCCTGAACACTGTCCCTCAGCTCTTCAGCTCAAAGTTAGCACTCTACCACTTGAGCCACTGGGCCACTTCTGGTTTTCTGAGTGGTTTATTGGAGATAAGAGTCTCATGGACTTTCCTGACTGGGCTGGCTTTGAACTGTGATCCTCAGATCTCAGCTTCCTGAGTAGCTAGGATTACAGGCGTGAGCCACCGATGCCTGGCTGGGGCCACTTCTTTTTTAAAAAGTAGGTAGGTAGGGGCTGGGAAGGTGGCTTAGTGGTAGAGTGCTTGCCTTGCATGCATGAGGCCATGAGTTCAATTCCTCACCACCACATAAGCAGAAAAAGCCAGAAGTAGTGCTATGACTCAAGTGGTAGAGCGCTAGCCTTGAGCTGAAGAGCTCAGGGATAGCGCCCAGGCCCAGAGTTTAGGCCCCTCGACTGATAGAAAAGAAAAAAAAAAAAAAGTGGGTAGGTAAATGCTATTTCCTTTAAGCGACTAAATAACTAAAGAGCCGCATTAGGTAGTCCTTTCAAGTACAATTTTAAAAACTTAGTACTTAGCTTGTGACTTAGCCACCCAGTGAGCAGTACTGAGGTAGCTTGTATGGGTAGGACAAACAACCCAGGTGAATGTGGCTCAGTGGTACAGTGCTAGCCTTGAGCAAAAAGAAGTTCAGGGACAGTGCCCAGGACCTAAGTTTAAGCCCCAGAACTGGAAAAAACAAACCAACAAACAAAAAACAAAAACAAAACCAACCAAAAAAAACTCAGGCAACCACAGAAAGGAGGGGAAAAAAAGAATCCAAAGTATGTTTTATTAACAAAGAGGAAAATACATTCTCTCATTTCATAATACAGTTGACTCCATTGGAATAGGTAGACTCTGCTTAACCCAAAACTGTAAGTCTCATCTGCAATGCAAATTTAAGAGATTTTTTTTCAATTATTTTTAAAGGGCTGCAATACAGCTCAGTGGTAAGGTGCTTACGTACGAAATGCAAGGCCCTGGTTCAACCCGCTATTTAGCTCAGGCTGGCCTCAAACTCTCAATTCTCCTGTGCCTCTACCTCCCAAGTGTTGGGATTATAGTATCTGCCATCATACACAGCAACAAGCTTACACTCTGAGAGTCCTCAAGGAAACCTCTGCCATACAAAGAGCTGGAAAGATCTAAGAGAAGCAAGAAGCAACCTCACTGACTAATCTATACTGTATAGTAGGCAGGATACAAAGAGAGTTGAATAATAAACCTCTTAAAAATGCACAGCCAGTACACAACTGGCCCTGGACCATGTTGACCAGAGGGACACAACAAAAATGGGCAAGCAGATGCATGCACATTAACATGTGAATATCTTTTTTTTTGGGGGGGGGGTGCAGTCGTAAGGCCTGAACTCTGGGCCTGGGCACTGTCCCTCAGCTCTTCAGCTCAAGGCTAGTGCTCTACCACTTGAGCCACAGCAGCACTTCCAGCTTTTTTCTTTTTGCTTATGGGGTGCTAAGGAATCAAACCCAGGGCCTCATGTATGCAAGGCAAGCGCTCTACCACTGAGCCACCTTCCCAGCCCCTAACATGTGAATTTCTAAATGGAACTAGTGGTATACAGGCCAAATAAACCAGGATTTATAAGTAACAGGTTAGAACCAGCTAAAATCAATCATTAAGGGAAAAAAGCAAATAAGTCTATGTTTAGGTTGAAAAAACTAACCTTTATAGATTGAAAGACATTGTGTGACAGGTTTAAAAAATCCTGGCTGGGTAGTAGTGGCTCACACATGTAATCCTAGGTACTCAGTAGGCTGAGATCTAAGGATCACAGTTTGAAGTCAGCCCATGGAGGAAGGTCTATGAAACTCTTATCTCCAATATACTACCTAAAAACTAAAAGTGGAGCTGTGGCTCACAATGGTAAAGCACTAGCCTTGAACAGAAAAGCTCAGGCACAATGCCAAGGCCCTGAGTTCAAGCTCCATGAACAATAACAAAAAAAAAAACAAACAAACTCCAAAAAACAAAAAATCATCTTGGATAGACTGAAAGACACTGTGTGACAAAATCTTTTTAAGTCTTATGTTAGGCATATCTTTTGTTCCAATTCCTTTAGAGAACTGAAATTAAAACCACAGAGTAGAAACGAGATTTAGACTGCATTTTCTACTATTAAAGTGCTTTGATAGCGAGTTTGCCAGCACCAGCATTCTACAGAGGCTGAATGATAATTTGTCAGGGATGCTGCTTAAAAAAATTCAAGGTATGGGGCTGGGAAGGTGGCTCATGCATGCATGAGGCCCTGGGTTCAATTCCTTAGTACCACATAAGCAAAAAAAGAAAAAAGCCGGAAGTGGCGATGTGGCTCAAGTGATAGAGCACTAGCCTTGAGCTGAAGAGCTGAGGGACAGCGCCCAGGCCCAGAGTTCAGGCCCAGGACCGGACTCCCCCCTCAAAAAAAAAAATTCAAGGTAGGCACTGGTAGCTCACGTCTATAATCCTAGCTACTCAGAAGGCTGAGATCTGAGGATCAAAACCAGCCCGGGGCAAGAAAATCCATGAGACTCACCTAGCATGCATGAATCTCTGAGTTCTATTCCTCAGTACCACATAAACAGAAAAGGCCAGAAATGGTGCTGTGGCTTAAGCTGTAGAGTGCTAGCTTTGAGCAAAAGAAAAGAAGCTCAGGGACAGTGCCCAGGTCCTGAGTTCAAGCCCAGGATTGGCAAAAAAAAAAAAAAAAATTCAAGTAGAGGTACTTATACTAGATTGCTCCTAGAAGTGTGGCCCATTAATGGGCAGCATCAGAATCATCTGGGAACTTGTTAGAAATGAAGTCTTAGCCAGGCATGGTGATTTGTTCACACCTGTAATCCTAGGACTTGGAGGATGAAGTAGCAGAGGTGTGAGTTTGAGGCCAACCTTGACTACTAGTGAGATCTTAGCTTCCAAAAAGTCTCAGAGCCTACCCAGAGCTCTGAACCAGATCCTGCACTTTCAGAAAACCTCTTGGTAATATAAATGCACATTAAAGTGCAAGCAGTACCATACTGGATGATATTTCATGAATTCTATTAAATCCAACACTTGTCACTTATAAAATGCAGTACCACAAATGGAGTCTAGATCCTGCTCCATGAGTTTTGAAAGTAAGTTAGCAGCAGGTGGGGAAGGAGTTAGGGAAGGGGCAATATCCTTCAAGGGATCACCAATGACGTCTATGGCTATATCCAACAGACCTACTTGTTATCTTGCTGACTATGTTACACTGGAAAGCACAGCCATTCCCTGATTCTTTTTCCTTGGCTTCTTGGATATACAGCTCTGGCTTTTCCACTACTTCTCCGGGTAAGTTTTTCTCTGTTGGTCCTTAAATCTTGGTGTTGCAACACAATGACTTAAGTTATCATCTCTTCCCAGTCCATGCATTCTTATAGGGTCTTTCTAGGTAACCCAGGCTGGCAAAGTGCTAGGATTACAGTTATATACTACTATGCCTGACAATTTGAAGTACAACTTTAATTATTATGTCTATCTCTGAAGAATAAGTTTCTCCTCCACGCTCCTGCTCCTGACTTATTTGTCCATCTGACACACCTAGACACCACAAAGGTCCCCTAGAATGTCAAACTCAGCAGGACCATTATTGAGTTCATTAGCTACCCTACAAACCTCCTTCTCCTCCGAGCGTTTTCTCTCCTGGAGAAAGGTGCTAAGTCTTCCATCTGCTCAAGCTAAAACCCCAGATTCAGTACCTTCTTCCCTCTCCTGTGATCAGTCAGCCTCTCAGGCTTGCAGTTTCAACTTCTAGGAGCCACCTCACTTATATACTGTACCTCTGATTTCCTGAGCCTGTCAGCCTCCTCTTATGCCCCATACTTGCTCTCTTTCATCCATGCTGCCACACCACAAGCCACAGTAGCTCCTCTAAAGCATACGGTTCATCTCCTCATTCCATCTCTCAAAGCTCTTCTACAACCTGCTCTACCCACCCTCCTGCTTGCTCTCCTCCCAATCATACTTTGCTTTAAGGATAAAGTCAAAGATCCAAAACAAACCTTCACTGTCTTGGCCTTTCCCAGCTCTCCAACTCTGTCTCTTGCTACTCTTCCTCCATAATATATCTCAGTCATATTTGGCACAGCTACCAGCTCCTTTAGTGGGTCCTTAGGCCAGGTCTTCTCTTTGCTCAATCACTCTTCCTCTAACTCATCATTCATGATTTCCTTGATCAATTGAGGCTCTCTGCTCCCAGCACCCTCCTACATAGCACTCCTTAGGTGACTGACTCTTAGGCTTGGTGTCTGCTCCTGCACTACCCAAAAAACTCTCTACAGTAGGGCTGTGCCACCTTCCTTACTGTTGTATCTTGTTTAATCATAGGTGATTCATAAATATTTTCAATAAAAGCAGAGGGAGCAGAGGTGGGGTAAATTTTCCAGGGGCAGGTAAAATTGAAGACCTCAGGTTTCCCTGATACAAGCATACATTATTCCTCAACTATTATGAAGATGGTACCTGTGGTGAAAGGGTTTGAATAAGCTATGAATAAATTTTACTGTAGTCATCTTTGCACATATTACTAGAAGTAATGGATGCTATGGCCACTGAAGTAAGATAGTGACATTATTTTTATAAAGACAAGAAAGCACAGCTCAATAATAAGAGAACAGACACTTCATTGTGTGTG